TATATATAGTATGACTTCACTATATTGTTTGATAATTTGACTTTATTTCTGGGGGGAAATGTGCTATATAGTACAAAAAGTAAGCAAATTTGCATTTGGTAGATTATTTCTTTATTGTAACAAATTTTCTTGCCAATAAATTGCATACCAGGCACCTGGGTGTTTGGCAATAGCAGAGAAGATTTAGCATTTTTTCTTAATGTACGCAACCCAAAATCTTAGCTCTGCTGCTCAACCCACAAATGCATGCTCCAACTATACAGTATAAGATTTTTTACAAAGACAAGGAAATGTACATTGTTTCAACATTTTTTTATTCTGAAAATAAACTAACAAAAATAAATATCTTCCCTCTCAATTATATATTTACTTCTGAGTGGTCTTAATACTCAGTCTTAGTCTGTGACAAAAAAAAATAAAGATTAAAAACAAACTTTAGATCAAATAGTTTTAGAAGCCGGAAACGTTACAATATCCTACAAACATTGAACACACCTGAGCGTGCGTCATCCGTCTATGCGCCTCGTCTCCCGCTCACCTCACGTAGAAATATTCCCTCTTCTRATTGGCTGTTTTGAACAGCATGGAGTGAGCTGATTGGGTCGTTTTGAACTGCCTCAGTACTGCGGACAATTCAAAAAGCCAAGCATTCCAGCAGCGACGGTCCTGCAGAGTACATTGAATGAGAAAGGAAACGGAATAAGGTATTTTTTTTCTTTCCAGACCTAAATAACTGACGTATGATGTCGATAGACAAGGTGTATTCTGCTGGATACGATCAGAAAGCGTGCCAGTTGTTAGAAAAACATTAGATTTGTTTGTAGTTTTTACAGGTTAGCTTAGGTCGAGAGTTTTCGTTCGGTTAAATGTAAACGGCAGCCTAGCCTTCTGGTTGAAAAATATCCAGTCTTTTATCATACTTTCGACCCTTTTTAAAGAAATGTTTATAAACTATACGTCATAATCAAACAAAAATCAAGCATTTCGTTTGAGTTAATACTGAAACTTGACAATTTAATCACGGATGTTCACCGTATGTAGGCTCTCAGCAGCCTCGCTAGCTGCTGCTATGTTGGTATAAAATGGCTACTTGAACGTGGTGTAACAGTTAACTAGTTTGCTCATCGCTAAAATGCCGAAGATAACACTGAAACTAACCCCCCCCCCCTTTCCCCCCTTTTTGGCAGAGATGGACGATTACTTGAAAATAGAAAAGATCGGAGAAGGTTGGTGTAATTTATTGAACTGTTTTAGAAGAAACACTATTAGGCTGTSAACCTTTTTGTTGTTGTTTTAATATCTTCAAAAAACTTTAAAGCTGTTCTGACATCAGTTTGATTAAATTAGTTTATTATAAATTATGATTATATTTCTGCCAGGCCCCTGTGAGCACCTTTCATGCAGGACATTTATGACACTGGTGGCTCCATCCCTGTATTCAGGCTAGAGCTTTTACTGTAAATTGAAAATAATTGTATTTTGCTGTTGATTGTTTTTGCAGGTACCTATGGAGTTGTGTATAAGGGCAGACATAAGACCACAGGGCAGATTGTGGCCATGAAAAAGATCCGCCTGGAGAGCGAAGAGGAAGGGGTTCCCAGCACCGCTGTCAGAGAGATCTCTCTGCTGAAGGAGCTGAAACATCCCAATGTTGTGCGGTATGCTGCCTTAGGGGCAAAATAAAAACTGTTGCAGTGTAGAAACATTCACATTTTAACAAGTAAAAAACAAAATGAGTAAACTGTTAAAACCTCTTGGGTTTCTGGACATTTTCTGTGATTTGTGGTGTTACTTCTAACAGGAATATATACTATTTATTAAGAAATGTCATTTATTGCCAAGTAGATGACGTAAACCAGTGGTGTYCAAAGTCRGTCTTCAAGGGCCAGTGTCCTCCAAACTGAGGTTGTTCAAAGAGCTCCTCATAACTTTCATAGCAATGTCCTTCAAAATTGCTACATTTTAAGTTTATTTCCATTTTCTTCATGTCTGTGCTCATGCCTCTCTTAAAATAAAAACTGMGGGGATTTTAAAAGATTCCTATTTAGACTCTATAAGCAGTAAGAAATAGTTGTTTTGTGCTTAAGTTGAAATAACATTTCCATAGAGCTCATACAACAAAGTGACTCAATGCTTTGTTCATGTATGTATACCAGGCTCTTGGATGTCCTGATGCAGGAGTCTCGTCTCTACCTCATTTTTGAGTTCCTGTCCATGGACCTGAAGAAGTACCTGGACTCCATCCCTTCTGGCCAGTACATGGACCCCATGCTGGTCAAGGTAATTTTATCAAGGGCTCTAAATGCTGAATGCTATTCACATGGAGCTGCTTCATTGATTTGTGGATGCCCATAAAAGAATTAGACCAGTTTTTAACRTGTGCTGCCTGAAGGTCACTCACGTGTTATTTTTTTATGTCAAAAGGCTCAAAATGCAACAGTAAAAATCTGGTCTATCAAAATTTTAGAAATATGTAGAAACTAGGGGTGCACCGATACATCGGCTGACTGATTTCTGCACAGATTTCTTTAAGAGATCAGCCGATACTTGGAWAAGATCAGTTTCTCATCTACCTCMACAAAGGTCTGAAGATCAGCCACTGTCYTGTTTTGCTCTGCTGTGAGCTAATGTCCAGTTAAAACAAGATTGTATTGTTTAAAGTTTTTCAATAAACTAAGTTCAGAAAATTGAATTTGTATTGTGACCTGTAGTGCCACTGTTATTAAAAATGAAAAGAAGACATTTCTTTAATGTGATTTTTTTTCTTTCTCTTTTTACTTTAGAGTTACCTTTACCAGATTTTGGAGGGGATTTATTTCTGCCACTGTCGTAGAGTCCTGCACCGTGACCTGAAACCCCAAAACCTCCTGATTGACAACAAAGGGGTTATAAAACTGGCAGACTTCGGCTTGGCTCGTGCCTTCGGCGTTCCTGTCAGGGTCTACACCCACGAGGTGGGAATCTGTTCGCTCACATGAATCAAATGGTAATACAGTGATGGTCACTCTTGGAGCATTGTTCTAATAAAAGCTGCTGCGCTCTCAGGTTGTAACTCTTTGGTATCGGGCTCCAGAGGTCCTCCTGGGCTCTCCCAGATATTCCACCCCTGTGGATATTTGGAGCACTGGCACTATTTTTGCTGAGCTCGCTACCAAGAAGCCCCTTTTCCACGGAGACTCGGAGATCGACCAGCTCTTCAGGATTTTCAGGTGGGCACAACAGATGCCAAATTTAATGGCATGATTCAATTATTGAACTCAAAAGGTAAATTAAATAAATAAATAAATAGGCAAGTGAAAATTAATACTACACAACCTTTTTTTTTCCCCTGAAACTCTTCCCAGATTATCTGCTGTTATTAAAAACAAAACATAAAATCAATTAAACTAAATTTTTAGTCTACATTAAAATTTTCCTTTTTAATGTTTAATGTTCCAGTGTTGGTCCTGGCACACATGAGAGCAGTCATGCGTGTTTCACAGAGGAGCTGCGAAATAAATATATTAAAAGTATTAAAATGTAATAAAATATTGTTTTTAACAAAGTCAAGTGTGATTGTAGGTTGTTGGCTCATCCTAAAATTAATATTTATACAAATCTAAATAAAACTATCAGGAAAAAAATAGACATTTTGCAAAAATCTTTTCTATTTAACTTAAAACAAAACTACACACAGCAGATCCAGGAGTTTCTAAATGTTGGAACAATTTTTAAGACCCTGTCACACTATGTTTTAGACCAGTGGTTCCCAAACTTTTTATCTTCTGACCCACAAAATAACCATGGCAAAAACTTGTGACCCCAAATATTACTGGTCTGAGTACATGAACTTCATTAATAACCCTAAAAACACAGGCTTTTTGACAATCTAAACAGCTTATACGCAAATATAAATACTTATTTATGTTTTTGTGTGTTTTGTAATATTTATAGGGAAAATATTACATCAGCAATTAAATATTACCCTTTAAATTGATTTCTGGAGATTATCCAAGGTGCTTCATGACCCATAATTGGGTCCCAAGCCCAACTTTGGGAACCAAAGTGCAGTGGTTCCCAAACTTTTCAGCTTTTGACCCACAAAGTAACAGTAGCAGAGACCTGTGCCCCCAACTATTTTTGGATAATAAACATTTGTATCAGGTCAACTAAACATGGGCATAGTAACTATTTTTTATACTACATTTATCCATTTTAAATACACTAACCTCACTCCTTTGTAACAACTAAGGCAAAAATTAATTAATTGTGAAAAAATTTTCAGGACCCCGCCTTGATTTTTCGGGACCCCACTTTGGGTCCCGACCCCAACTTTGGGAAACACTGTTTTAGACGACTATGCTGACTTATGGAAATTTTGTTATGAATAAATGACTCATAGTTTATATATCCTTAGAGTTTTTTTGCAGTGCAGTATGTATATATGTCTAAAAGAGGCTTTCTGTAATTTTTTGTTATTACATCGTCTTCAGCATTGGACAAATTTTTTCATGAGTTGTCAAACACTGAAGGGCCTGTAAATGTTTTTGCCTGAAAGTGTTTCTCTTGCTCTTATCAGGACTATGGGAACCCCAAACAATGATGTGTGGCCTGATGTTGAGAGCCTGCCTGACTACAAAAGCTCTTTCCCTAAATGGAAACCTGGCAACTCGGTGGTGAAAAACCTGGATAAGAATGGTCAGGACCTACTTGGGGTAAGGACAAAAGTTGCTCCTGACAAATCTTTTTAATTTTTTATTTGTAAGCTGGGAAGATTTTAAAATAGGAATCATGACAAAGTTCACACTGTGGAGAAATGAGCTGTTTGGTAAAATCTTAAAATGTGTTCTGTTTCCATCTCTTTGCTCCTCTATTCTGTAGAAAATGTTGATTTATAATCCTCCAAAGAGGATTTCAGCCCGCGAGGCCATGAAGCACCCGTACTTTGATGACCTGGACACTTCCACCCTGCCATCTGCCACCATCAACAACCTGTAGGATAAATACTGACCGTTCACATTAACACATCTATACTATTGTGAATCTGTAAATACTTCTGTGTGTCTGTTTGTATGAAAATTGTTCCAGGCCCTAAAGTTTCAAATCTTTTCAATAAAACAACTTTTTTTGTGTGTTTTCTGACATCGTTTCCTTGAAACTGAAGCTGTTTGACACAATGAGGGAAAAATAATTTCTTCATTTGTAACAGTTTTTTTTTACATCACTGCAACTCTGTATTTGTAGCTTCTGAATTTCCTTTGACACGAGAGTTGTATTAACAATTCTGATATTCAAACACCTGAGATATGTTACATTCAACCTGCTGTTTTTCTGCTAAATATTTATTTGCGGTTTGAAGTTCCCCAGCCAGTTAAGAGACTTTATAACACAATTGTCAGTTTTACCTCACAATCTGTTTGATCAAATTTTAATCTAATTCATTCATATTGTATAAAACCTTTTACATAAAAGGAATAAATTGTGTGAAAACCTTTTTTTAAAGCCTGTCMAACATTATCCACTGATTTTACAGGGCAGAGATTGGTCAGCAAATTTGTGAAACCAGAGTTAAAATTTCAGTGATTTGTTTAATAAAAAGGGGACAGTCAGTATATTTCTACTTTGTTTACATCACATGCCAGTTTTCAGAACACCTGACTGTCGCATATTACATAACACTGAAATTTATTTACAATGATTTTATAAAAGATTTCTAGCAGTGACTGACCAAAATGAGTTTAAAATAATTCTAATGGGTAGTTTGGCATCCCAAAARTTTGATTAAACCGAAGTCATCATGTCCAAAAAAAAAAGGTTAATCGCCATCAGCGTCCAGCAGGAACTCCTTGATCTCTTCTTTCATCAGAGACCTGGAAAGCACACGTCAATTCTGTTATTTCATCACTTCTGTTACTAAACCTGATTTATTACTGAAGCCAGTCTGTCACCTCCTTTTTCTTTTCTGAGCCTCTGACAGGATATACTGAGGAAGATGTTGAACTGATGACTGAAGAAAGACAAATGTAAATGTTTCACATTTAAAACAAGTTGCAAAAAAAAAGTTGCAAATCATTTAGCAACCAGGCTAAATAGTGCAGCCATATAAAACTAAGCAGACGGCCACAAATAAAATACATTTCCATGAAGCATATTTATTTACTAACTGATCTGAATGAAAATCATCTATTTTATAAAACAATGTTTCTTCTGTCAATGTGTAGACAAAATGTCAACTTGTTTCTGACAAAATTGTGAAAAAATACTTTGAATTTTGTTTTTAATAAAGTCCAGTGTGTTCTATTGGAAGTGTTTTTGCTCACCATGTCTTTAATTGTCAGCTGACAGCTGTAACACATCAGACTCCTCACATCAGCTGCCTCCATTTCTCTAAAAAGAAAAAAACACAGCCATGACCGTTCACAGATACAGAAAAACGAGAAATTGCATGTTTAAATGTTACTGCCTGATTAAATTCATAGATCTCTATGATAAAGTATGGGAGACCGAGGACAGTTGCAACACTTTTTGCATTTGACTCTGTGGCTCAGAGATGGTTTAGATCAAATAAACCAATTTTTTGTACAATAAACTTATTTAACCATTTAAAGGTGACGGCACATTCTTCACAATTTGTATTTGAGTGCTAAAAGTCAAATTCAATTCAAAAATACTTAATTGATCCCAAAGGAAAATTAGATAAACTGATTAGACAATGTTGAAAATGACTCCATGCCCGAGGACAGCATGTGCAGTGTGAATGAYGTCACTCTGGCTTGTTTMTGYTTGGAGAAAAATGACCCGTTGCTACTGCCTAGATCTCTGTATACATTTAGAACAGTTTTCTTCAAGAGCTAACTAACATAAAACAAATAAGTAAATATGATTCAGATAATCATGACTGTCACAGATACAAAGCGACTCCACTCACCTACTAGAAGAACAGCAGCCACTTCCTGTTYTCCCACAGTCCTCCCCTCCTGATGAGGAACAGCACTGCTCAGCAGGATGAGTTGATTTGGACTCTACTGGACCTTTAAAAAAAAAAAAAACATGTCCCAAGAATACTCTAAAACTGTTAAAAACAGTTTATTATCATTCTACAAAAATGTGCACAGAACATATTTTTTTAAGTCTAAGCAGTACTTCTCTMCTCATGACTAACAACAAATACTACAAGAGATTTACTAGATGTGTACTTCGAGGTGAGATATTACCTGGGGTTGGTATTTTCATGTGAGAGAGCTGCTCTGAGATCAGTGTGGCCTGGAGGGCTGACGCTTTCTCTGAAGAACAAAGAAAAATATTCTGTATGAGACGGTCTGCGTGAGGTGTACGAGGCTAAAGGTTAGCAGTTAGCTGCTGGCGTCTCACCTACGACCGTATCGAGGCCGCACATACAGAGCAGACATCTGTCACCCTCAGCAGCAGCAGCAGCAGAGGAGCTCCTGTCTGCAGTCTGCAGCTTCTCACTGGTTCTGCAGGACACAGGATGGAAGCAGAGCGTTAATGAGTAGAAACACTGTTAGCACAGATACAGAACAGTGTGACTACTGTGGTTGCTCACCTGTAGATCGTGCTCACAGTCGATGGGAARTCTGCCTGCAGTTTAGTGATGAAGCTCTCTGTCAGACGCTGGATGCTGGATTTTTCTGGTGTCTGAGATGGACAAACGACTACTGCTGTGGTTAAAATGATCAAACTGATAGAAACGTGAAAGGAGCAAAACAGCCAGTTTATGGCAGAAAGTTATATTAAAAGTCTTTTTTTGTTGTCGTTACATCATCTATATTACAAGAATTAAAGGGTTTTTTCAGATTGTTTAAAGATGATACTAATTAGTCATAACATTTCCACAGTAGTCCACTTCAGAGGATTAGAATTTYCCTTCTAACTAGGTTTGTTTGGTGTAGAAAAAGAAAAGCAGCAGCAGAAGAAAACAACTTCATTAAAACTAAATTTTAAAAAAGTGTCATTATTGTTTTGTGCTGCTGCTGAGCTCACCTTTGTCTCCAGGCTTGGTACGACCACAGATGGAACGTTGAACATGTGATTGTAGAAAGCGATTTCTTTGGCTGAGTAGTCCCTCATTGGTCTCACCGACACAAYGTCACCATATCTGGAGTCTGAGAAACTCTAAACAGCAAATGAGATCATTTGTTTACTTTTGGCTGATTTTTGTTTCCATTATTTGCAGTTTTCCTGACAGGTTCTCGGGGAAAAGAAAAAACGAATTGGTACGTTGCCCGTCGTCTTTTCTACGCACCGTGTCCTGAGCCAGCTGCGCCCCTCGGCCCAGTGAGATACTGGTGAGCAGTTTAACAGCCAGCCTGGTGCAGTTGTCCCCCAGCATGAGTTTACTGTAGGCTGCAGTCCGGGCTGTGTGCACCAACAGATGCTGCCTGTAAGGAGATAAAACAGCTGAGTTAGCTTTAACCCTAACCCCCCCAACTGCAGCACACGACACGTGCTAACAAAAAACAACACGGCCACGGCACGTTTGGCTGAGCGGATGATTATTTTTAATGATAAGTTCTATTGAAGAAGGAAGATCGGGTATTTCTGTTGTTTACAAAGGAGAAGCGCGAATTTTAAATTTATCACAAAAAACGGTTTCAACAAACGGCGCAGAAACATGTCCCTGCACTTCCAAGTCATCACAAACACAGAGAGCCACCTGTGTCTCCACTCTGTCTCATCTACGCACAAAAAAAATGCAATTTCCTTCCATGACTTCTTTGACCATCTCTATGTTTATTTGACTATCTTTTGTTTTGCTGGAACAACATCCTCGGRCATCTGCTCCTCAGCAGAAAAACAGTGAAATCAGATCAGTGTACTTCAGCYACTTCCCCGCWTAATCAWACCTACAAAGTTCTGACCAATCACACAATAMTTGGCACAAAACCTGAGACACATTGGGTCTGACTGAAATGTAAATGGAGGCGATGCAAGAAGAAAAGAGGCCATTTTTGTCMCTYTTTTCTCAAGACTGTGRACTGTTCACACTGGAGCCTGAAGACTGTCGCGTTTAAATTTAATTTATATTGTGAATGACCAAGCAAAACACTGGAATTGATTAAGACCTGCAGAGTAAACAGTGAGTTAATATTTCACAAATAAACTTTTTTTTTCTTTACTAAATTTTATGCTCTGCAGAGTTAAAGCAACATGTTTTCCACAACAAGAGTAAACACAACAACACTTCAGATTACTCAAGCATGGCAATGTAAGTATTACGGTTTTGTTGCATAGAAAAGTGGGCAACGTTGTCCACCGTCTACAAAAGTCTTTGATAATAACTTGAGCACATTTTGCAAAAAAAAAAAACTTTTAACAAGTGGAATGATCCTCAGAACAAAATCAAATCTACCAACGTATGATTGGAAATAAGGGAGTTTACTAAATTTTCAAGCTACGGTCAAAATTTGAGTAATGCTGTTTTTATTTATTTTATTTAAACCTGTTTTCATTTTTAATTTGAGGAAGGAGCCAATAATGTCCCTTCCTGTAAAAACAAGTATATTTAAGACTCAATGTAATGAAATAAGCTAAAAAGAGAAACATGTTTCATCAGACAGGATGTGTTTTATATCATATGAACTGAATAAACAACACAACACTTACGCAACATCCCAGACTATCTGACCTTAAAGTGCTCAGCAGGTCCTCTCTGGCAGTCAGAGACTTGGCAGAAGCCATCAGCTGCTGCAGTGAACGGGTCTGGGACTCTGAAACGTCAGGCAGAGACATTTCTTCTTGCCTCTGAGTTGTCAGGTCCTTTCTGCTGCCAGTCTGCAGGAAGTGATCCACGGCTGCTTTGTAGGAGCCACTAGATGGTTCTGAAAGTGATGGCGTGGTCRCCACGACTGAACTAGGAAGGTCCAGAACCTTGCAGGAAGTTTGAAGATCAGTTATCAGCTTCATTAGAAGAAAACTTATTGTAGAGTTTTTGTCACTTTAGATTTGTTATTTACTGCAGCAAAATCTATTCTGTAAGTGACTTAAGTTAAAAGACATTYGTCTAGAAAAAAAGACATCAAGTCACCAGGAAAAAAATAATAATTAAAAATTCAATAAATTTTTTCTTTAAAGAACAGATCAGTTTGATTATGTGCTGATTTGTAAAAAAAAATGACAAAGGGCAGACTTTTTTTCTGTCAATCTGTAAATCCTAACATGCTTACTTACACATGAATTTACCCAATTTAAAGTCATTTTAATAAACTGCTATATTTGAGCTGACCTGCTCAAGAGGGAGGATGTAAAAAGGGAAACCAGTAGATCTGAAAATTTCCCGGACTTCGGACGTCGTCCTTTCTCTTTCCTGTTTCGACAGACCCACAGCTCCCCCTTCTGGAAACACGGACAGAGAATCAGAGTAGGATATTTTCAAACGGACACAGAAAATATTGAAACCTAAATGAATTTACCATCAATGTAGACGATAGCRGGCAGGAATCTGAGCTTTTTGTGAGCGTTCTGACTCACACCCTGAGAGGAGGAAAGCAAGACTTCAGCTGTAATAAAACTGACCACAGAACAAACTGAACACAGCGTGGGCAGATGATGGACAGAAACTGAAACACATCATGAGTTCATCTCAATCGGAATCACAGTTGAGTCTGACTGATTTAAGTCAACCTCTTGGACTTGACGGAGCATTGAGCAGGAAGAAGGACCTCCAGATACAGCCAGCAGCACCTACGAACACAGGAGACACTCAGTGCTATGAACAACTGATTACATCATCACAAGCATTAGTTGTTTGTGTTTCCAGTAAGTTTACAGTTTATACATCCTTTCTTTAATTCATCTCCTTCTGCCTTTATTCTAGTCATCACAGCAGGAAGTCCAACACTGATTTTCAACTCGTCAGAAAAGTTTGAGAAAAGGTGGGAAACTATCTAAAATCCATAATAATATGTGTAAGACAACAAGGTCAACGTTTTATAATGACATCTTTCATGATTTGCTGCTAAGCTACAGACTGATCTGCCTAAATATATTTCTGTAGAGGCATCAATGAAAAGTCTTAAAGATGTACAAAACAGATGGATAAAAATGTCCCTAATTTGAATAAAAATAAAACAAAAGTAATAATTATTTGCATTGATTTGCTTCTGCTGTGTTACTGACTCATTAAAATCTTATTTTCACTTGTTTGGTTGGAACATTGATGTGATTTTGATCACTAACTGGAACATAAACATGTCTTGCTCTGAAGGGCTCACCTTCTCTCCAGGGAAAATGACTCTGGTTTTACCCAACATGGCTCTGAACTTGTGAATAAAGTTCTCTTTGAAACAGCTCCTGACAAACACAGACAAATTATCATCACAGAGTCAGAGCGACAACTCTTCCCCACACCTCAGCTTTAAACATTATAGTGGTTATTACATCATTCTACATTATAAACAGATGTTTTACCTGCAGTATGCATCCCCAGGTCTGATGACCACTGCTGCCAACAATTCTTTACATTTCACACATTTCTTAGAAACACTGGGGGAAAAAAGAACAGCACTTTTTATTAAAACATCGGGACAGTACAGAGGAAAACATGACAACAGAAGATAATCCGGACTGAGAAGGAGTTAACAATAGCATAGATGAAAAATTTTAAATATCTAGCATTCTTTGAAGGAAAGCAGGTTGCCTGCAATTTGGCAGATTTATAAACTAAAATAAGTTTATGTGTTGATATGACAGTTTTGATCATGACAATGAGTAATCTTCTCCCATGATAAATTAAGATCTCATATAATCTATAAGTGCTCAGGTGATGTCTTGAGGATGACTCTCAGCTACAACCACAGCAGGTTTTAGTTTAAGATCTGTGAGACTGACTGAGTTATAGCCACTTTTGTCTTGGTTAAAATCAATTAGTTGTGGTGGTCAGCTTGATTTGAGATGACTGTTAAAAGTTTATCAGTTGTGGATATGCATCCAAAGATTATTTCATGGCAAGGAAGTCAATCTTTGATCCAAAAGAATATTACAAGAAATGGAGTAAAACTATTAAAATATTAGTTTTTAAGGTTCTGCAGTATACTTTTATTTCAAATCCACACCAAACTGGAGAGTGTGCACATCCAAACTATCACTTCCACTGCATCTGATGAGACCATTTTTAAAACCTCCTACACTGACTTACAGACACACACCTGACATATAGGCTAGCTAGTAGCTAGATAATTTAGTTTACTTTAATAAAACAGACTGGGTTTCGGTCTTCTGTAACTGTGTATTCTGTCTGAACAGTACCTGACCGCGCGCTCCAGGTGTTGTTGGTACTCTTCTTCATCTACYTGACACATTATTTTCAGCTCTTTAAAGATATTAAATGCTTCACTTCCCGGGTTTGTTTACAGCTCAGACACAGAGCTGTCAGCCTGTATGATCTTCGGCAGACAGAGCAGTGAAATACGAGCGTGTTTATCACTCAGACTACTTTAAACTGCTAGATTTCTCTTTAACAACAAACCCCTCGTGTCGGCCGTCGCTTGTTGATGACGTAGGTCATTGCCTTTCCTCTTCAGAGGTTAGAAGGGTTTTTACCGCCACCTACTGGAGCACAGTGTAACATGTGTTGTTTTAGTTTTATTATTGGTCTTAGTGTATTTTTGATGCAGCGTATGTTGTAATTTCTGGGCTTTTTACTTTTA